GCCAGCTCAGCCCACCAGGGGGCGGGGCTGGCTGGCTTGTGGCGCTGGGGGATTGAACCGCGGTCCCTGATGCTTTGCTGAGCTTGTTCTAAGTAGGTGCTTTAGACCACTGAGCCATCTCTCCAGCCCCTATATTATATTTTGTTAAATTATTTTAATTCATTTATTTTCTTTCATTTTCAATTGACAGGTAATACCTGCAGACATGTACGGAGTAAAATACCGTAGATAGATCTATGAATTCATTTAAAAAGACTCAGTAAAGCTAGTTAATATAGCCACCATCTCACTTCATTGGTTATCAGGAGGAAAAGAGATATTTAATATGCATGCCAGTAATTTATACATATGTATTATCATTATTATTATTAGGGTCAGCACACTGCCCAATAGTCAAATCTCACTGGACATTTTGATTATCCCTTTCTCCATAGCTCCTTCTCTTCTAACCCTCAGTTTCTGGTACTGCCCTAAGGCTTCTTAGGAAGATTGTTCCAGAGATAAATTTCTGAAGTCTGTCACCCAGAGAAACAGAAGGACCTGGCCCTACTCTAAAGGAAAAATGGATATCCATCCTCTGTCCCTTCACTCTGTTTAAAAAAAAACAAAAAACAAAACACCTCTAGCCAGAGGGTTCCTGCTATAAAAGTACGCTAGTTAATATTTAGATCTACCTAAGGATAATACAGCCAAACACATTCCAGTGTCCTGAGGTTTATTTCAGACAAAACAGGTAACTGGTGGATGGTAGAAATATTACTCTTTATACACTGTTCTCTAGAGTGAAATACATGGTCGGATTTTTTAGCATCAGTGTACCCAGTCTGTGAGTTTATGATGTCAAGCTTATGAATAACAGCACATAAAAACACAAAAGCAGCTATGTACTGTAATTTGTAAAGGCAGCTCAGGACAACAAAGAATAACAGTTAATAATAACAATAAAATGACATTAGAATTGTAGACAGCGAAATGTGATGGTGGGTCAGTCAGTAACTGACTAAAGTATAATTATACTGTATTCTGTTTCATATCTCAGTTTGAATATTTACATCTCTTAACTCTAAACTCAAGCCAGCATTCTTGTATGATGATCATGGTGCTAAACAGAATTAAAACTAATGCTTCCATTTTTTGCTTGCACTAAATTTTTAACATCATATTTATACAAAGTTGTATCCATAAATGTCCACATGTAATAGTTCTGCAATGCAGAATTTTTAAAGTAAAACCAATGAAATTAAATGTTTACATGGCAGACTTGTCTAGTAAGCTTTAGAGTCATATCAATTTAATGCTAGTCAAGAAAAAGGGAAAAATTATTTTGCCCTGACAGTGTGTTCCATCGCTCATCTTCTTTAAGAATAAGCAAATCTATCGAAGAGCTAATCTACCTTTGTCAGAAAAAAAAGTATGAAGAACGATGCTTAAAAAAAATCACAATGGGGATAAAAGAGAGTTTTTCCCACAAATATTTTATTCATATGAAATAATAGACCATTTTACACATCTTTGTGAGAATACAGTTTATGAGGAGAAAGACAATTTAAAAATGTACCAAATTTTCCACCTCACCCACAAGAAAACGAGTTGGTAGCAAAAGCAGTCTCAAATTGACTACACTCTTTATGCTATTTATAGAGAAGTTTCTGTCCCAAATGGTTGTTACAAACCCAGAAGTAAGACAGCCAAGGAACAGAAATTGAAGAATTATAGAGAAAGATTAAAAGCTTTTGAACCTTTGAACTTTTCCTCTCTCCGGAGCAACTATGACTTCTTCCCCCTGAGAATCCTCTTATGAAACTTAGTGCCTTAGAACAGTTTCTTCTAATGATAGTAGTTGTTCATCAATTTTTATTCTTCCTTGGTTGAGGGTTCACTGCATGTAACTACCCTTCTCATAACTGGAGTGTTCTATGCAAAGACCAGGTAAATTCCTGTGGCTTGGGAGACATTATCCAGGCATAGGTGGGAGAAGAAAAGGATGAAGGACTATGAGAGGTGAGGGCCACAACAGAAGCTGTTTAACACAGCTTAGCTGAAATGTGGAATGTTGCCTAGTACCTTGCAGGTGCTCAGAGGAATCTAGTTATTCTGTCTCATAAATTAAACAAAATTGCTTCCTGGTATAAGATGTTGTCAATTCACTCAACTAACATACTTCCAACCTCATTTCACAGAGGTCTTTCAAAGATGAATCAATTTGTCACTTGTTTACCTTTCGTAGTCTTATGATGCCATCCTGGGCCTGGGCATCAGAAGTGACTTCAAAGAGTGTCGTTCCATCTCCATCAATGATGTCATATGATGACTGTGCATTTTCACCAATATCCTGGTCATTGGCCTTGACTCTTCCTATTGCAGTGCCAAGAACGACATCTTCTGGTACTGAGAAGTGATACAGACCTTAGAAAAGAGTAGAAACAGTGAGAAGTGAACACAATCTAATTCATTAATTCATTGAACAAATACAGGTTGGGCAAGTCTTGTACTACGCATTCCTGTAAAGCTACCAAGCCACTGATGTAAAAGACAAAAATATCCTTTTGCTTTTACGGAATGTATAGTATCCAAAACAAATCAGAGACAAACATTTCCCAGAGGTAGCGAACTCCGTTTGAGTCTTTCTAAGATATGGAACTTATTCAACCATATGTTTATCAAGTATATATTTGGAACAGCTATATCAGAATATTAGTACTGCTCTGTGAATGTTCTTTGCAATTTGGTGTATAATCACATTGACTGCCTGTGGGGATATTCATTGTTGCCCAACATAAAATAGTAAGCTAATTTCAGCACAGAAAGATGCAGTGTGTAACATACTGGAAAGTCACTTTTGAACTTACTTTTATATTTACAGACTTGCAGACCATTTTTGATAAAATCCAATTACTAAACTTCTGCTGTGCCCTGCAGCAAGCTGCTCAGACACATGAAACACTCCTCTTGTTACTAAAGTCTTCATTGCTCTGAAGACTAAAATCCTACCTTCAAAACTCCCTAGGCAAAATACAATTACAGTGAATTTTCATTCTCCTAGGGGGACAGTAGAACATGTCTAATTAGTGGCATTGGTCTTATTTTTATTCAGATCATCACCACTGTGATATTGTTGTCACTCAGATTGATTGGGAGAGTGGAAGGAGATGGTGCTCCAAACATAACTCCTGGCTATGCTGTTTTAGTGCTCACCTACTCTATGACAGCCAATCCTGCACTTCATTACCTGAGGGGTCAAGCTGGTCTCCAGGTTCCATGTTGCCCGCTGCTTGTTGGCTTGAACCTACCAGAGTACTAATGTCCCCACAGATGCAAAGCTCAAAGACTAATGGAAATTAGTATGTAGAAGCATAAACTCTTCTGTTTTCTAATAGGATAGCTGAGTTATTTCTTTTTATTTCTTTCTTGCCAGGAGTCCAGAATTTACAGGGAAAACTGCTTCAATCATGCGTGCATTTTTTGATCTCTATCTACCTTTCAATCTCTCACTGGTATTTCTTGGAACTAACTGCCAGTTAAATGAGTTACAGTCAAAGCATTGCCTAGTTCCTGTTTCTGTTGAACCAAAACTTAGACAGACAGTAAATTTTACACCCCTTGCAACCACAACAAGGGAAAAATAAACATTCAGTGAACTACAAGAGGAAAAGGAAAAGTTGAATCTGGAGAACATTACCTAATTCTATTTCAACTTAATCGCTGGATTGCTTACATAAACCAAAGCTCATTTTACCCAAAACAACAGAATTGGTTTAGCAGATGAATAAAGTTTCTTTAAGAACTAATACATTTTGACTTAATGATGAAATAAAAATACCTCTTGGAATCATGAAGTTTTGGAGCTGAGGAGCAAATATTTTTCAAAGTAATTTTTACTATAAGGTGGGCATTAAAAATCGTCATGTGGAGCCTACGTTTCCCAATGCCCCCATAATTAGTTTAATGATCCCATTTCCTTCAAACTTTATATTTGTTAGCGATGACCCCTCTAGGTATTCTTATTAAGTAAATAAGCCAGCAAAGGATGTCTCTTGCTGCCAGTCCTCCATTGGGGAGTCTTGAGAATTGAAACAAACGCATCGTTCCTTTATCCATTGCTATTCTGAATATCCTCATCATTTCTATCAGTGTGATCCTAGTTAATAGTTATTACCTCTAAGAAAGGGAGTGCTTATGAAGCTCATCTGCAACTGATCAATTAAAGTAATCACCATCTGAGAACGAAGAGCTGCATATTATGGCATTAACTGAAATGCAACTACAATAGAAAGGACTGGTGGGATGGGGTAGGAAACATGGTGACTTCCACTTAGACAATTTTGTTTCAAAGGATTGCATTGCTTTCTAATTTATGAATAGCTAGATGGAAAAGTTTTGAAATTTTTGTTAAAATATGTATGGGCTCTATATGTTTTGCTCTGAAATTCTCAAAGCTATGTCAAGTGGGTCTGTTTCAAGATTAACCTCATCCTACATCTTCTTACTTCTCTTTTCTCTCTCTCTCTCTCTCTCTCTCTCTCTCTCTCTCTCTCTCTCTCTCTCTCTCTCTCTCTCTCTTAAATGGTTGGTGTTCTTGTGGTGTCTCCAGCCCAAGGAAAAAGCAGCCTGTGGCATTCAGTCTCCAATATCACAAATATCATAACTTAACTTCTTTACCTGAAAATGCAATCAACCCTCAGACATCTTCTCAGCCATTAGTAATTTGGATATATACTATGTCTGGATCTCATTACACTTATGCTGCTATCATTTTTGCTTACCAAAGTCACCAACACATTTTAAATGAATGCTTATAAATATCCATTTAGTTAGGTGCATGATGGGGAAGATACTAGAAGACCAGATTCCCTTTGTTATTCTGGATCCAAAATATAACTTCAACTACAATCTAAAAGCCTTCCAGTGGTTTCTCAGCCATCTTTAACTGAAGATCGTGAAACATACAATGATCTACAAATTTAAGTACAATACTACTAATTCTTCAGGAAACTACCTTTTGGGCCTTTTGTTTCAATATTATCTCCCTGGATTTTTGTTCTCCAGCTGCAGTGAAATGCTTTCTATTTCCCTACAAGTTTGCGCTTTTTTATTACATGTATTTGAAATGTATAGCATGATTCTGTGATACATAAAATTATCACCTTATTTTCCATCCAGCACTTTTTTACTCATCACAAAATAGAAACAAAGGACTTACTGAGAGAAGACTGGATAAAGAATGCATGGGGTACAAGTACAATGGAATACAATCCAGCTTTTAAAAAGAAGGTGCTTTTTCAATTTATGACCACACACATGATTCTAGAGGTTAGCATGGTAAGTCAATTTATTCAGAAAGAAATAGAAAAATACTGTCCAATGTCATTTATATATCCAATCTTTTAAAAAATGAATACATTTACATAGAGCTAATGACTATTCCTTTTAGCTGCAGTGTCCATTTTTCTTCTCCTGGTGTCATCTTCTTCCAGACAGTCTTATTTGCTCTTCATATCTTGATACAAAAGTTCTCATGTCAGAAAGACCTTGCAGAGTCCTGGCTCTGTGTCACATTACTTGGACAGAAGCTCATAAGAGAAGAATTTCATGAGCATAGAAGAAAGTTGGCAAATAATCCCCTCCCTGACTCACAGATGTGACTGCCTGCAGTGCCACTAAGTTTTCCAAAGTAGGGCAAAAAAACCTGAGCAGGGAATAGTGCAGACAGTGATTACTGATGTCTCTTGCAGTGACAGAAGGGAGAGTTAAGGTTTACAGTGAGTCCACTGTGTTTGATTTCCCTACTCAGGCACTGGGGATTTGGTTTCTTTCATATAGCAGGATTAATAATAAATCAATATCCTAGCTAGGCTTTCTTCATTGTTTCAAGCTCACTAAATTTCACAGTTATTATTATGTACTTGCCATTTGAATATTCATCCAACTTCATTGATATTTATTTATTTGTTTATTTATTTATTTATTGCAATGAAAGAGACTGAACTCAGGACCCTGAGCTTGCCAGGCAGGCACTTATTCTACCTCATTCAACTTCATTGAAATCTGTAAAACTGGGATGTATTTAATAGGACAATGAGTTATACATATACATACGTACAAACATGTATAAACTATTATGCATGCATATATATATATATTTTTTTCATACCTTATAGATGTGCACTTGATGTTTACAATCAGTTTGGAGGATGTCATGGAAAATTAAAATGTATATTCAAATGAAAATATACTCAGATTTTCATCTAATGCAGGAAATCCACTTACTCTGTGCAAATTTTGGAGGATTGTCATTAACATCACTAAGGGTCACTGTGAGGGTCGTGGTCCCAGACAGGCCTCCAGAGTGTCCACCCATATCTTTGGCTTGAATAACAACCAGGTATTCCTCCTTGGCTTCTCTGTCCATATTGGGAAGGGCAGTTTTTATAATAGCTGAGGGAAAAAAAATGGAAGAATGACCTCGTGCCCAGAGCTCACTTAGCAATGAATGCATAAGCCTCCCATACACACACCCATGAGCACAGACACAAGCTTGTGTTTATGCATCAAGATTCCATTCAGGTAATTTCCATTTGCTGCTGACATTTAGCAGGTTGGGATCTCTGATATTAATACCCCAAAAGCTTGTAGTCACAGAATTGTGAATAACTTGAGAAAGTATATTCTATAATGCATAAAACAGAATTTGCAAAAATATACATTAGAAAGTAGACTGCTCACCAAATTAAAGTATAAATCATAACATAGCCACTTTCACCTAGGAAAACCCTGGAAGTGAAAGACTCCTACAATTTATCACAAACCGAACTCCTCTACAAGATGCGTAAATAGATGAATAGCTTCAAGGCTCTGAGGTCAAAGATAAATTTATTCTGAAGCTCCGAAATACATTAGAAAGAAGACAGAAATAAATACATTATTAGAACAAACTCAGAGGTAAAATAGAAATCAGAACTAATATAGGCAAGGGCCTAAATACCAAGGTACTGTTTACTTACATTTTAATAATTCAGTTAGAACTTTCATGTAAAAATAAAGAGATTTTAAAATTGCACAATATAAAAATCAGACAAATAAAATGATCACTTGTAAAATCTTGCGCTGCTTCCTCTGACTTATTTTAAGTTTCACACGTTTATTTCACCATAAGAATATTTTCGTGAAGATTCAAAATTTGCTTATATACTTCTGAAGTTCTATTTAAAATATTTATTTAGCCTTCTCCCTATCCTCCTACTTTTTTTTTACTTATACAAACATGTCTATACATAGCATTCTGCTATGTATAATTCTACATCATTAAGTATGTACACATAGAAAGGTGCATGTGTACGTACACCACTTAACTGAAAATCTGATAGCAGAGTAGATAGAAGATAGAAGAATTTTCTGAAACTTATGTTTCTGAGACACTCTCTTGCCAGTACAAAGTGGTTCACCTCATTACTTCTTATAGCATGATTTTTCATTGTTTGAAGCTATTGAATAAGTGGCTCAGGGTCTTCCATTTGATGAGTATTCTAGGTATTTCATTTCTACCCATTTCACACACCTAAGAGACATATGATTATTTTGATACAATACTTTTCTATTCCTTGCATTTCTATTTAATTTAGTATCAAGGTGCCCTACATATTGGTAAAGTCATAATAAAAATTATTTTGGCTCTCCTAAAATATTATTGTTGGATAGATGTATATTATATCTTTGGTTCAACTGAGAGGAAACTGTCCAGATTAAAGATAACTGTCTCTTCTCACTTCTAACCCAGAAACACCATAAATGTTTAATTTGAATTGAGATTGAGTCACTGTCTTATTCAATCGTGAAGTTGTAATTCTCTTTTTTCTCTTTTCTCACTCATATACTCTAATTAAATCATCTGTCTGCAAAGGTTTTCAAGGAGTTCAAGTCCCTGAATTATCTGAGTAGCAAGCAAAGTATAAGAGTGGCCAGAAAAATCTAATCCTCTCAGCACTGAGCAGGCTCTGGGGAAAGCTATATGTTCTTATCACTTTATTAGACCTTGACATCACTTTTGTATCAGGACTCGCCATTCAGGGACCACTCAAATGGATAATCCTGCTTATTGGGATACATTTAGAGCAATATAATATTATCTGTCAATACAATTATTTGTCTCAGGATATGAGCATATCATAATCTAATTCAGCAATCATACCTGTGTGGTTAAAATACAGACAGGAAACTAATAAAGACAGAAATATAGCAGCCATTCAGATTTGGATGACTGTAAGGCATGGCAGAAGGGAAATGAAAAAATAATAATAATGTGCCTAAGTATCCTATCACTGAAGAGCTGGGATGCCAATGAGCTAATCTACTAGGGATATGTACTTTCATAACAGAATATTTTCATTATGGGTCCAATTTTCATCAGGAAATACAAGAAAATTTTCTTACTCTCACCATATTTTACATGAATGCTTGTAAATTGTAGGTACTTCTATATTTATTCTAAGGTCATTACCAACTGAAGTCATTGATTGCACTTTGGAACTTGACCAGAGGACTTCCGATGATCATAGGAAACTGATATAAATTCCTAAGTTAAGCAGCAAAATCTTTTGAGATAGCTGATGAGGTCAGGTTTATAAGTGAGACCTCTCTCAGGTTATTTGAATGAAGGGATTCCAATAATTTATTATGGTCAGAGGACATTAAAACATATCTTCAACTTTTTCATATATTGTGAGTATGGAATTTTAAAAATTAGTTCATGTTACTAATACAGAATGTTGAGATTGGGTTTTGCAAAACTTGTGTATGAAATCAAAAATATTGCTCATGTTCAATTATATTATTTCCCTTCTCTCTTCTTCTGCTTCTCCTTCATCCTCTTTTGATTTTCAGAAGACTCCCTTCTAACTTCCTATCTGTATTCTACTTCAAGAAAGAAAATTAAACACACACACACACACACACGCACACACACATTTGCAATGTCTCTCAAACACTTGAAATTTAAATAATTTTGTGAATCAGTTTAAAACAACAGGATGTCAGCGAGTCATACCAGAAAAAGCGTGAAGCATCACAATAAAGCTTATCAAACAGAATAAGAAATATTCCAAGGATCTCCACTAATTACACAATTCATTATGCCTTCCAATATTGAGATACACATTTTCTTAAGCTACATCTGTATAGACAAGTTTGATTCCTCTAATGAATGTTCCCTCATAATTAAACCAAGTATTTTGATTTCTTACATTTATTTTCACACTTCATGGCTTTGTGATCATTAAAAAAATTATAGGACTCCTCATCACTCAATACCCTAACCTGTAAACTCAAGATAGTAATCAGTAGCTCATGGTAGGTACACTAAAGTAGAACAACATTTTCAATGTTGTTGGCATGTTGAAGTTACCAGAAAATGCTATTTACTTTTCCATTCATGTTCCCTTGCCAGAGTTGATTTAATGGTTAAGAAAATGATGATTAGAATGTTGAATGCTCTGAAACTTTTCATGAAGATTCATTTTCTGCTCTCTTACTCTTGGCATGAAAGAGGGATCTTCATTTGATCTTGGTCAAAAGGTCAAGAAGTGATGAAAGAAGGATTTTAGTGTAGCTTTTTCAATTAATTATTTTGCTTCCTAACTTTTGGTTAGTTTCACCAATAAAGATTCCTGTAGGAAACTGGGAGAGCAGAGAAGGATGAGTCTCAGACTCTGTGAATTCCTTCATGCCATTTTTGTCCATCCTGTTTTAGGCTCATTATGAAGGGATACAGGTTAAAGCACAACTCTCACCAATAATTCCCGCAATCTCTTGTTCTTCCTAGCAGAGGAGTATTAACGATACCTTACCTGTTAGCTTTTGGGAGCTTTAATAATAGACTTTTTGAACTAGGTCTTGCTTCTGTCATTAGCCTCTCTCTTCAACTCTCTTCACCCACTCCATTTCTGGTAAAACTCTCCAAGATTTAATTAGTATATTGGTTCTTTATCTGAGTCCTTAAAATGTTGCCAGAATGTTGTTCCATAGACCCCTCCCTACCTCAAAAACATGTCAATGTTATAGTGTGCTGAGGTATAGAGCTAGTTCCCTGGGAAGCAGGGCAGGGGTGTGTTTCCTTATCTGTAAAATGAGAATGATGCCTACTCAGTTAAGTGAGTTGTTCAAGATGACCCAGCTGGGAAGCCACACAACCAGGAGTCTTTGTTCATTCTCTTTTTTAACATTAAGAGTAGGTTTCCTGCTTTCTAAAGCAGGAAGTCCCTCCAAGTTTCTTCAGGACCAGCAGTCTGCTTAATTGGCTTCAGTTCAAACTGTCTAATGAACCATTCTTGTCTTTCCTGAGTCCATTGCCTGGTAGTCTCAAGCCCACAGCTAGGAGCACCTCATTAGGAAAAAATGCCAAAATTGGTGGAAATTTTCTTCAGCTATGTTTTGGCTATAGAGAGAGGATGATACATGTGCCCTTGATCTTCCCATTTTTCACTTTTTTTTGAGTCTTACCTAAACAAGTCACATGATACTTGCATTTCTATTGAAAAGGCAGACCATTTCACTTCCACAGATATTGCAGAATATTGATAAAGTTCTAAAATACAAGACTGAAATTATCTGAAAAGTTTCTTCTATTTCTTTCCCCCTGCTTTGGCTCATATATTCTATAACACATTAGTAGCTTTAGGCTGTTTGTAGACAAGAAAGAAATCTTCCCTATTTTTAAAATCATTGTTTGTTATTTAACATTGCCTAACACAGTGCAGAAAATATAGTAATTAGGGCAGGCTTTTTCTCCCTTGGATTTGAAAAGTCAAAAAGTTTGGTCTGTGGATGCCAAAAAGAGACTTAAATCCCCAGTTTAATAGCATTTCTTATCCATTTACAACTTTGCTTTTAAGCAGACAAATATGAGAGGCCTGCCACCCTTCTACTTAATAAAACAATTTAACACATCATTTGGTGGTTCTAAATTTACTAATTTTCCATTGCTCAAGACCCAGAATGCATTCCACTTTGTCTTAATCATAGTCAAGTAGCAGTAGTGTGCATGCCTCCTCCATGCTTGTAGTAATGTCTTGAAATACCCAGCACCATGTTGAGATGTTTATGCATATTTAAACTTCCATTGCGTCTGCTTGTTAACAAGTTAACAATATTTTAACAAGATGAATGACAAAACAACTGTATTTTATTTTTATTGGGAAGTTAGTTAAATTCATTGTGGATGTTTGACAAATTCACTGTAAAGAAAATCAACTAGATTATTCTTAACTGGTGGAAATTCCAGTATGAGTTGATACAATTAAAGTATCTTATTACACATAATGTCTCTGATTCCCATAAATTTCTAACTCACTGATGGTTGTACGTGGACTCTCTTGTAACTACTGAGCTTAGGTAAGTGATCCAACTTATGTGGAGCGATCTCTTTGTCCTTGCAAATGAAGGAC